GAAATTCCCTTCCACCAAGATTATGCTTAGCCTTAAGTTTCATTAACATTATATAAAAGTGAACAAATATTATCCATTGTACTTGGAAACGGTAAATTGACCCGCCATAGAACTAAGCTACATAAAGCATTCCAATAATTGTTGTTGATTGCAGAAGTACTTGTTTAACTTCCGGTTAACCAGGTTTGATAAACATCATTTCAACAAGATCATTAAATTTCGGATTCAAATTCCGAACGCATTTCCGTTCTTGAAGTAATTTAAAAAGTCGCGATTTACAAGACGATACTTCTTGTTAATCAACTGTAAATACAAAGAATACGCATGTCATTAACAGAACAGTTATACCGAATTAAGAACAGAATGTTGACCATGCATAATTTCAATAGGAATCAAAACATTAAAACCCATTTATTGTGATATTGTTGAGTATTACATCTGCCAATAAGCTCTTTTCAGATCAAATGCTACACAAATGTTGCTAAGCGTTCAATTTAGGTTTACAAATACTTTGATAATTAAGCAAATACTTTTTGGTGCCGTTTTTCATGGTACAGATATAGTATGTTAGTTTGTTTTTGGAAAATGTATATATTTAAACCTGCGCTACAGACCTATTTTATTAGATTGTGGTATTTTGGTGTAAAATGGATGAAATCTATATTCAATTTCATATTACTTATAAAAATTAGAAGATGTGGTGTGATTTCCAATGAAACAACTCTTCACAAAAGACAAAATGGCACAGAAATTAACAACTTTAGGTCACCGTACGGCCTTCAACAACGAGTAAAACTCATACCGCATAGTCAGCTAATAAGGCAAACAATCAATAAAACTTTTTTTTATTGTTTTTCACGTGTTTGAAGAACGTGTTATGTAATGAAAGAGTGAAGAGTGACTGCCTTCCTTTCATTAATACAAAAATCGAATAAGTAATATTTACTACTAATCCGCAAGTTTTATGTAACTCCCAGTGTAAATGGGAATTCAAATGACACAAGTTTTAATATATAATGTTACCGACTATTGCTTATACGTGAACATGGCATTTCTTCCTGACAGCGGACTGTTATCTCGTGTAGGAGCATGTTAAGTATCCATCTTTGCATGTTGAAGCATCTTCGAATTTTATTCTTTTTAAGCAAAATATTAATAAACCCTGTCTTAGAAAACAGGTTCATGGGCCCAATGAGTTTGATATTATAGTAATATCAATAATTTATTAGAAAGGCTACCCATCGGGGAAAAAATCAATATAACTATTTTTGTTGTTTTTCGAGTGTTTGAAGAACGTGTTATGTAAACGAAAGAGTGACTGCAAAATCGACGAAGTAAATGGCAAAAAAACACATTGTTGTGTTAAATATTAAGTACCGAAGTCATTTAATGTGTTTCCTTAATATTGTTCCTTTGTTCCTTTTGCCTTTCACTGCCTCGTAGATAAGCTACATTTTCTCAAATTGTTTACCAAAAATTTGCATTACAAGTAGACACTGTTCTATGCAGTTTGTTCAGGACGATGTCTAAGATTCTGTCTTTTTGCAATGTTTATGGCGTGGCTGTATGAAATTTTCTATGAAGAACTGCCACCAATATAGTGTATCACATTATGATTTCATATTAGCAGGCTAAGTAATTCGTCCACACGTCTTCCTGACAGTGGACTGTTAACTTGCGAAATAGCAATTTAAAAATCCAACTAAGTGTGTTGGTCTTTTTCAAAGCAGGGTTCAAATTCATATTACATCAACAAGTTCTCCTCGCCCTGTTAAAAATGTATTTTTTGTCACTGGACTTTAATTACTTATTATCTATCAATTTTAGTTCCGAGAGAAAAAAAAATCTTTTTAAAAAGCAAAAACAAAAACAAAAAACCAACAAAAAAAAAACCAACGTTTTATTCAGATCTTTAGATGTTATTAAACAATCAGAATATAATTTCATACATGATATTTTACATTATGATGTAGATGCATGCAACAAACTAAGAACACACTTAGATCTCCGTTACCTTTCATTTGTCAACATTAATGAGGTAACGCAAGCCTTCCTAATATTTTTCTGTATATTAATTTTAAAAACATTGTGCAATCTCACTACCGACGTAAAATTTCCTTTATTAATGGTATGATTTTTCTTGAAATTTCCTTTACAAAAATTATCTAAGAAATGAATGTTTCTTTTTGAAATTTTATTGGGGTGTAAAAGTGTTGTATACGCTTCATTCTAAAATGTGTGCACAATAAACACTTTTGCAACCCTATCAAATTACTAAGTAAAACATACATGTAATGTAATTATATAATTGCGTCTGGCGCAAATACAAAATTTCAATCCTGGTATCTATGATGAATTTATTTACAACCACTGGGTCGATGCCACTGCTGGTGGAGTTTTTATTCCCCGAGGGTTTCACCAGCCCAGTATTCAGCACTTCTGAGTTGACATGAATTATCATTGATATGGTCATAATTATAAATTAACTGTTTACAAAACTTTGAATTTTTGAAATACTAAGGCTTTTCTACCTCAGAAATAATTTACTTTAGCTGTGTTTGGCAAAACGTTTAGGAATTTTTGGTCCTTAATGCTCTTCAACTTCGTACTTTATTAGGCAGTTTTAACTTTTTTTTGATTCGAGCGTCACTGATAAGTCTTTTGTAGACGAAACTTGCGTCTGGCGCAAATACAAAATTTTCAATCCTGGTATCTATAATGAGTTTATTGTTGTAACACTGAGTTTGCAGAATTGAGCTTAGACGGGATATGGCTGTTCTGTATAAACAGTGTTTGTGCTCTCAATCGTTTATATTGATTTGGCTTCCAACTGTTTAGGTTTTTCGAGAGTTGTTGGTGGGTCTTGTGTGGACTGGACGTATGTCTGATGTACTTTATTTTAAATCTGGTATTTTTGATGAGTTGTTGTTTTTTGTCATATTATTCAAAAAGTTCGACTTGCCTTTTAATCTGTATCATTCAACATAATTTTGTCCATTTATATTTTCTTTTGCTGTTATGATCAATATTGGCTACATACCCAGCCACATTGGTACTACATTTTTCGTTGATTTTAAAAGGTACAGAAACAGTGACTATAAGGGTGAATTATTACAGCAATAAAATATTAACCTTGTCTCATCTGGTCTTTTCTTTTAGCATGTAACTACCTGGTAAGAAGTAAAATAAAAAAAATACGGAACTCCAGGGAAAATTCAACTGTCATACAAGTGAGCGGTTTAGCTAGCTATAAAACCAGGTTTAATCCACTATTTTCTACATACGAAATTGCCTGTACCAAGTCAGGAATATGACAGTTGTTATCCATTCGTTTGATGTGTTTGAGTTTTTGGTTTTTCCATTTGCTTAGGGACTTTACGTTTAGAATTTTCCTTGAAGTTCGGTATTTTTGTTATTTTACTTTTTTCAAAACGGAAAGTCCCTTATCAAATGACAAAATCAAAAGCTTATACACACCAAACGAATGGAAAACAACTGTTATATATTCCTGACGTGGTACAAGCATAGTACAATTTTAACTATTGTGTTTTACTTACTATCGATCTGTTGACTTACGTCGGTCCTTCGTTTTTTGTTCTGTTTTACAGCTAGTGTATTGGTTCCAATTTCGGAGTTTGTGGATGTCCTCCAATCAATTCATGGTTTATATCAGCAGGAAATCTGTGTGTGAATCTTAGATTATCTTTACAGATGACAAAAGCTTCGGACTGTTTACCTGTTACATTCTTTCTTTCTCTTTGGTGGTCTCCTTATATTTCGCCAGCGTTATGTCGTATAGGCCTCGAATATTGTGTTTATAGTGCGTAGACTGCTCACTTGCTGGATTTACTTTCTTTTTGTTAATATATCTGCTTTTTCCTGTGACAAAAATGGTGCGGCTTTTTGGATTGCTGAATCTACCCGTTGTGGTAATACTGGCTTCTGATGAGCTGATAGCAGCAAGTTTTCATTTCTACTCCCACTTGGTGAGCATTTTTATTCCTTTCAAGGAGGTGGTTGCTTCTGTCAATGTATATTTGTTCCGCCTAACAGAAGTTTCACTGGAAACTTTGTTATAAACAATGTCATAATATCTGTTCCTGTTGGAACAAATATTCTATACCATTTATTCCGTTAGGAACATATACTGTAATAAATATTCCAGTGGCAATAATATTCCAGAATATTTTTTCCATTTGGAATTTATATTATTGAGGAACTTCTATTTCGTGACACTTCTTTTTTAGGGCCTTGTTTTGTTGTGTTCCTTTCTTTGCAGCTTGTTTCTCAACTTGATTCCACGATTGACTTATATCGTACAGGTATTGACTTTGTGTTCTCAAGTCAATTTCTTACTCTCTAACTCTATGCGTCCAATCAAACAAAAGTTCAATTGTTGAGATTGTAATGATTTGTGGTCACCAGGAGCAATGTTGGCTATGGTAGATTGATCGCGTGCTAAAAATCCTCAGCTTGTTCTCCTGCCATGTATGCAAATCTTATTTATTAACATAAGCTTAAATGAAAGATAAATAATGTTTGACTGAATTCCAATCAATTATCAACTATTAAGAGATTTCTAGAAACATAAAGTTTTAAACTATTTATTTTAGTAAGACCAAGTCAAAGATAGAAAAAAACACGTCCTATGTCCGGAGTGCATTTCTGGATGTACCTTCTTCGGGAACGCTCAAACCTTTTTGAAAGTCGGGCATGTATAAAAACGTAGAAACGTAAGGACCTCTGCCACCATAAAAGACTTAAAAAGAATAACCAAAGTCAATTAATGTCAACTTTACCTCTGGGAGTTGAAATCTTAGTTTCTAAATAAGTTCTTAATTCATCTACGAGTATATTTTAAAAATATGTTATAAATCAATAAGCGTTTTATAAAAGAAACTCGTGACATGAATTAACAAATCACAGCTTTTGAATAATGATATTATATGATAACACTTGTTTAGGCTGTAACAGCTTACCAGTTTTGTTATATTTTTCAGATGAAAGCATTTCATACTTCTGTGTTTATTATGGCCATATTTACCACGGTATTTGCTGTAAAAGAACATCCTATTTCCGTGAGTGACACGGGAGAAGGAACAGCCTGTGATACAGACATGGAAGTGGCAAATACGTGTCTTGCATGTTCCCGTATAAATCAAGACATTGCCGTTCGCATTACTGATTGCTGTACAGAATCGAAGGCATACACTGTGTGTCAGATCTGTACAAAAGATCCTAGCGGTTGTCTGGAAGACGCAAGAAGTATCTCAAGCGACGAATATATAGATGATGGATCATCCGAGGAGACCGAAGTAGATAAGAGATATGGTCGAATGTTTATGGGAGGCTGGTCGTATCCAGGACGACAAGATAAGCGTTATGGGAAAATGTTTGTCGGCGGAGGTTACCCTGGTCGATCGTTCCTCTTTGGCAAACGGATGAATAAGAGGTTTGGAAGAGTGTTTTCTAATGGATATGGGTATCCGTATCGATCACCTAGTACAAAGTTTGGCAAACGATTTGGAAGGCTCTTTACCTCACAGACCGGAGGAAACAAACGGTATGGATCGTTGTTTCTGGGAAAGAGCAGGTGGTGATCATGTACATGTATATGCCTTGTTGAACAATATTTAGGACCTATTTGTAAATAATTGTAAATATACACTTAAAGGATACACCGAATCGTGCTAGATTTGCATATTTTATTAGATAACTAATGTATCTTTCTTATTTTAAATTTACCACTAGATAAACTAGATATGCAAAAACTTCAAAAATTAAAACATGTTTTCCTAATTTGGGTAATATTTTATCTAGCAAATTGTACTGTTTTGTGATAAAATGAGAACCTGTTTCCAGTTTATAACTGCAATATTCAATTATATCATTAACTTTTTTTTATCTTTTGTTAAAGTTAAATGTCGTAAATCAGTTATATTTCATACATTTCTTTGTCGGGAAAATGTATCTATTTATCATTAAATAATTACAAAGATAAGTTTGTCTTTCTCGACTGACAGCTGCGAATTGTCCCTATAGTTAGTATCATATGATTATATTTTAAATGAATTTTTTTAGGAACAATTTTTGACACTTAGTTTTCGTGTGCTAAAATGATACAAATAGTTTGGAAAGCCATACAAATAATAGTCTAGGTCAACAGTGCCACAGAGAATTGCAACCTTAGTTCTAGTATTGTTGCATAATCTATGGAATATAGTTTAACTGTCAAAATGAGTTTTTTTAGTTCTGCAGGAACATATTCATAGTGTAGAGGGCAAATGCAACCCTTGTAATTAAACAAATGTTTACCAGTACCGCATGATGGTTAAAAAGTAATGATATTAATGTCTAGGTTAACTCTTCGACTCTTTCGTTACTACAAGAACATGCAAAGATGGGACATTAGCAAAAATATGATTTTTAATGAAATAAGATATTTTGGTATTGTGTTCATAAGTCGTGTCATTTATCGGCTACAAAAATGCAAATCCTACTTTGTAAAGAATCACTCTGATTCATACAAAAAATTCTCTGAAACTGACATTATCAAGATGCTTGATTTCTTGATTGACAACATATTTGTTACGTTTGGAGGACGTGTTTTTCAACAGACTGTCGGAATTCCAATGGGAACCAATTGTGCACCTCTTCTTGGCGACTTGTTTCTTTATTATTATGAGGCTGACTTCATACAGGAACTTCTTAGGGAGAAAAATAAGAAGTTAGCAATATCCTTCAACTCTACGTTCCGCTATATAGATGATGTTCTCTCACTAAATAATACAAAATTTGGTGACTATGTTGAACGAATCTATCCCATTGAACTTGAGATATAGGATACTACAGATACAGTTAAGTCTGCCTCATATCTTGACTTACATCTAGAAATTGACAATGAGGGTCCGTTGAAAACAAAACTTTACGACAAAAGAGATGATTTCAGCTTCCCAATTGTGAACTTTCCATTTCTATGTAGCAACATTCCAGCAGCGCCTGCATACGGAGTATATATCTCCCAATTGATACGATATTCCAGGGCTTGTGTTTCCTATCATGATTTCCTTGATAGAGGATTGCTGCTCACAAGGAAGCTATTAAGCGAAGAGTTCCAAATGGTGAAGTTAAAATCATCCCTTCGTAAATTTTACGGACGCCATCACGAGTTGGTTGACCGTTATGGAATAACCGTTTCACAGATGATATCGGATATGTTCCTTATGTCGTAACTACAATACCCTTCCCTTTTCACGAATGTGACTTACCGAATTAGACTATTTACCGGATTTGTAATAACATAAGCAACACGACGGGTGCCACATGTGGAGCAGGATCTGCTTACCCTTCTGGAGCACCTGAGATCACCCCCAGTTTTTGGTGGGGTTCGTGTTGCTTAGTCTTTAGTTTTCTATGTTGTGTCATCTGTACTATTATTTGTCTGTTTGTCTTTTTATTTTCGGCCATGGCGTTGTCAGTTTGTTTTCGATCTATGAGTTTGACTGTCCCTCTGGTATCTTTCGTCCCTCTTTCGTGACTGTCATGTGTCAAAATTAAATTTCTATTCGCTCATGATTAAAGATTGAAGAAGGCAATATAATTTATATAAATCGAAGTTATTTTTAAGACATTTTTGCAAATCGGAATATGATACTAAGATTAGTATTGTTTTAAGCGATTTCGAAAGGGTTTGTCAAAGTGCTCTGTATCATTAATTTTTAATAAATGATAATTTTACTCTAAATCAGATACATTTAAAAAATAACTTATTTGTACATAAGAAAATGTGAGGTATATTGGAACTAAGTATTGATAGCAAAATTTGAAAGCAAAGCGGTCTGTTCGACATCAAAATTATTAGAAGTTGTACCGCTTTTTCTATTTGCATTTCCTCGACACATTGTTGTCATCAGATAGCGTTGAAACCTTAATACCTTTCTTGTTCAGTATTTTGTCCTCATCCATATCCGAGTGTGACTGACAATAGTTATTCCCTTTTTCGGGCGAGGGGTGCATTTTTAACTTTTAATCTGAATTGCTGACCTTACATAGAACAGGTTTGGAAACTTCATTTATCAATTCCGGCATCCCTTTTCTAGACATTATTCATCGCTGCTGCTTCTATTCTGGTATCATTATAAAGGTTGAACAAAAAGCGTGTCTTCCTCAAACTAAGTGCCAACAAAGATTCAGATACCAACAAATATGTAATATCCTTCACAAAAAAAGCACATGTGCCATCATGTTTTATAGACCAGTTGGTATCATTAATCTATGCTAAATGAATTTGCAACGAAATTTTTCGATTACACAGTCACGTAGACACGTGTATTGCGTGATCTTGATACTTACAACCAGATTGTTACTCCTCTTCCTTTCCGTTGATGGTACATGTATAACTAGAGATTTAGACTTAACCAACAAATTTGATGAGCGTAATCGCTCACAAGCAGGTTAATCCCGCCACATTCTTTATGTGCCTGTTATTTAAGTATGTAAGTGGTTGCGGTTGGTTGTCGTGTGACATAATTGTTTTTCGTTTATCTTTTTTAAAGAGACCGTTGGTTTTCTCGTTTGAACTGTTTCATTTTTGTCATGTCGGGGCCTTTTTGAAGATTGAAAAGTGACATATAGCTGCCAACAATACATTCACGTCATTTCGACTCTGGTGGATAGTTGTTTCATTGGCAATCATACGAAATCCCCTTATCTTTAATCACAAGCAATGTAGTGTATTTAAGATGTAGGACCCAAATATCGTTAAATTTAACAAACCAACTTGAAACACAATATCAAGTCACATGGAAAAGAGAATATAGAAACTCTTTATTGTAAGATCTGATCATCAGCAACTTTAAGGTGGTGATACTTGACAGAACTTAGGAGTCAATAAGCATTAAAGTTTATTATGCTTTTAAGGACACTCAAGCTGACAATACACTTTTTTCCTCTTCAAGACAAATACTGTTTTCCTCTACTTTATATGGCTTTTAACAATGTCATAACTATCTATGAAAAATACAATATATACTTATTGCCAAATGAAAGGGTTGAACATTCAATTTGAAAGTACACCATACACATACCATAACGACTATAACTAAGTGAACCATAAGTTCATCTTCTTGTTTAGTGGCAAAAATTCATTTATGATACATGACAAAGAAACATGTAAAATGTCCAGTCCCAATTCATAAATGAATGTGAAATTTTGAATGAAAATAACGAGACTTTTTTCAAAAAATTAACATAAGCAACAGTAGTTTTACTAATGTTGAAAAGACTGAAGACAAAAGATAGGCAGCATAAACATAATGAGATGTGGTATTATTGCCAATGAGACAACTACCTACCAGAGTTCAAATGACGGAGATGTTTGCTATTACGACTATTTCCGACAAAAACCTTAGAACGTTAACACGTTACGCATGATATTGCGTCTCAATCGGTAACGTTTTAATTTGAGGTTTTTTAAAAGCCGATAATCGAGGATATTTTTTTGCTGGCCATTTTTTTTTTGCTGAAAATCAATATTGATACTTCTAAATGTTTGGTTGTACTGAATATGCATGAAATATTTCCCACTGGAAATTACACAAGTAACAAACAACACCATAGATGCATTAGGGTAAGATAATAGGGTCTATATATATATATATATATATATATATATATAAAGAAGATGTGGTATGAGTGTGAGATAATTCTCTATCGAAGTCAAAATGACGCAGAACGTATTTCGCATGCAATGTTTCTCCGTTTAAATAATCCGAGAAGAAGTGGAGGAAGATATCCATTCTGCTTTAATAAAAAAAAAGTGTGTGTGGGTATGGGGGATTTCAAGTTAAACGAGTCTTTCTTATAAAGTACTCTATTATAATTTGTATCAAAATGGTCAACATTTTTCTTTCGGAATTCGAGTGAATAAATTTTACCTTTTTAAATTTTCCTATGAATTGCGTTTTGTTGCAATCGTATATATCTCCATTAAATCAGATGTATCGCAATTATAACACGATAAGTATCGGATAAGAAGATTTTTGATAAAATGTTTGGATATTTGATGCATTTTGCGAGTCTGTTCAACGGGTTTACAATTTATATTTCAACCACGGTTCTCCAACTTTCTCTACTTTCTCGCTAAAAGTTGCGTAAAACACCAAAACGCAAAACAAACAAATATTTCGATTTGATTTTCAAAGACATAAATAGCGTCCCGAATCGACAACGTTGAAAACATAAGAAAATCAGTTCAGTAGACAAACATGCAAGACAATTGATTTCTTTAAAAACGAAGTCGTTTTGACTTCGCAATTATCAAAAAGTATGTAACTGTTTTTTTAAGGGTTAAAGTTCAATTACGGAAAAGCACTTTTTTGTATGTAACCAATCGAAATATTATTTAAATTACATCGCAACTGACAGTTTGTTCGTAAAAAACGACGTAATTCGACATTGGACATTCGTGCTAGACATTTGCCAGGAGCAGTTGCATTTTTATTTGTGGTGTGAGTGCTGTAAAAATTCGGGTTTGAAACGGTCTATCTATGTACTTTTGTTAGCATGATGCATGAAAGCGAAATTTCATACAATCTTATATTTCAAAAAGCTATGATTTTTTATAACTTACCATTTTCCGAAATCTGACCGTGAGGAAGACAATTTATTTTTGCCAAAAATAAGCTTTTGCCGTTGCATCAACGAAAATTCAGTAATGACGCAATACTTTATATATGACGCATATCATTCATGCGAATTTTCGTGGATTTTACACTGTTTCGAAGAGCATAAACAGCCCTGTAAAAAGAGGGGCGAAAGATACCAGAGGGACAGTCAAACTCACAGATCGAAAACAAACCGACAACGCCATGGCCAAAAAATAAAAAGACAAACAGACAAATAATAGTACACATGACACAACATAGAAAACTAATGACTAGTTACATACTTTTTGATAAACTAGTAAAAGTTATTATGCGTATAGTTTGTTACGTCTGACAT